GTGGGTGGGTGCTGCCAGGAAAATGTCCCAGGAGTTGGGTGATGTGGGACACTCCACGTACCTGAGCTCTAACAGGGCAATGGTGATTGCACACTTGCTTGTTGATGAAAGAGATTGCTCATCTGTTGGAAATATTTTATGGATGTATTTGCCTGTTTAGTGTCTTTGTTTTACAGTCTTCATATAGGAAGACTAAGGGGGAAAATCCTCTTGTTTCTTCTCTGCCTATAAAGCAGAAGACTAGCCTCCAAAAATATGCTAAGCTGTCTGGGTTTAAACTAGTTTCCTTCTGAAGTCATTCCACCATCTATTTCCTAAGTGGCTGAAGAGCCAGGAACCTGAAAGCCTAAAAATTTTCTTTTTTCTTTCTGTGAATAGTCAATGAGGTAGGCAATGCTGCATTCATCATTATACATACTTACACTGCTTTGAAATACAGTTTTAATTTTGTCTGGAGTGAAACTTAATCTAAAGCTCTTTGGTGAGGAACTGTGCTGTTGTGTTGATGCTGCTGCAGCTGGGCAGACTTTGTAGCACTTAATGGTACAGGGGGGAGAGAATTGTCCCTTTCTGTGCATCCTTTGGGCAGGGGTAGTTGTGTGGATGGCTTCTGTTTAAAATAAACAAGCCCATAAAAAAAACCCTTCCCTTATCTACCCATCTTTTCCTTCCTTCCCTTTAGGAGACTGGGCAAGGAATAATGAATGTAAGTGGGAGCAAGTGGGGTGAGGTCTGTGCTGTGGGACCAGCTCCCCTTCCTCTCCCTTCTGCCTCTTCCACTAATGGAATTTAATATTAAGGGGAGTTGTCATAATGAAAAAAAAATCATGCCCAGTTTCTGTTTCAGTCCTTTCTTGCCTGCACAGATGGCTTTTGAGCCCTCTTCTGTCAGGCACATCGAGGGGGCAGAGGCAGAAATAACGTTGGAGGGTTGCAATCTGGGAAAGATTATTCAATTTAAGGTTTGGCCATTTCTTCTACTTGCAGAGGGAATTGGGCTGGACTCTGATTTGAGCTTTTACAGGCGTCCTCGTTGAAGAAATTTGCATCCCTGTGATATTAATTAGGGTGACTCCAGCTGAACACAGTGCTGCTTTGAGGTCACAATTTTTACTTTTCTGTGTAGCAGGAGACCTGGGACTGCTTGTGCAGGAGCTTTTGTCATTCAGCAGAGATGATGTGGATCTGCTGTATGGAAAGTTTGAAAGGTGGAGAGCCCCATTTGTTGCCAGTCTCCTGTGCCACGCTGCCTGGAGAGCAGCTGCTGGGGGTGCAGGGGGCTGGGCAGTTTGGAGGGGCAGCCCCTGTGCTTGGCTGGCTCGCTGCTCCCTCCTTCACAGAGCCCCTCAGCGGGTGCTCAGCACTGCCCATTTGAGCAGGGGGCAGGATAGAGGAACGTCCCCAGCTTATCGGGTTCAGCAAGCAGCAGGCAAAAACTAATTTAAGGTTTGGTGGCACTCTGGGGAGGCAAGTTATAGTCAAAGCTGCTCTGCTCAGCTAGCACTCTGTTCCAAATTTCCCTTTCCTCGGTGTGCATCCTGACAGCCTGTTCATTTTATTGATCACAACAAATGGTGATTAACCAAGGGACTGAGGCAGCCTGTGGGAGGACAGGCTGAGTGCTGTGTGTGGGGCTGTCAGGGTCTATTGGTGGTGGTAGCCCAAGCAAAGCCAGCAGTTCAGGGCCAGTTTTGTAGCTGGGGTGGTTAAAAACCAACAACTTTCAGGATGAGTTTTGAATAGGGTGGATGTGGAAGTGACTTCACGGTCTTTGGGTAGTTTTTAAAGTGTTGGAAGCTTTGCCTCTGTTACCATCTGACCTGCATGGTCACGTTCCTCTGCAGAAGATTAGCTATTATCAGTGTTTATTTTAAAAATGAAGTTTGGGGTTGTGCAGATGTGTGCTGGCTCATGAAAAAGGAAGGAAGAAACACCCATCAGAAAAGAGTTTTCTTTTACCTTTGTGGGAACTTAGGCTGCTCTGATTAGAGCTTAAGCCTGACAAAGGCTGTGCTTATTAACCCCAAACGCACGGCCTGCTAGTCAGCAATATCTGGCAACCTTATGTACTTTATAATGAACTCTGCTTATGTTGTCTCTGCTAGAGAGAGTGTTAATCTTCTGGATTGTTCAGAAGAATATATTCCTTTTTGGCAGATTAACTAGTGTATTTAGAATTCTGTGACACACCTAATCTTTTGGGTTTTATTCTTCTCACCAACAAGATGTCGCCCTGGATTTTTAATTCTGACTTTTGCTTACTTTGTACCCAGGTCCTGGGGGGGTCTGGGTGGAGGGTTGTGCTCTGCTCAGACAGCTGTAGGTCTGTCTGTTCCGAGGCCTGATGAGACCTGGGAAGCAGAGTGATGATGATGATGATGATCCAGGTGTGAATGTTCTGCTGTTGCAGACAGGTGATGTGGTGAACAGTGACCCACAGGCCAGCCCCGGGGTGCTGGAGGAGAGAGAAAATCAGGAAAGACTGAAGGAGCGATTCAGGATGTAAATGTAGAATCATTAAGGTTGGAAAAGATCTCTAAGATCATCAAGTCTAACCATCAACCCAACACTAAACCATGTCCCCAAGTGTCATGTTTTTTGAGCCCCTCCAGGGCTGGGGACTCCAGCACCTCCCTGGGCAGCCTGGGCCAACCCCTCACCACTCTGCCAGGAGAGAAATTCTTCCTAATATCCAATCTGAGCCTCCCCTGGCACAACTTCAGCCCATTTCCTCTCATCCTATTGCTGGTTCCTTGGTAAAAGAGACCAACGCCCACCTCACTCCAACTTCCTGTCAGGGAGTTGTAGAGAGCAAGGTCTCCTCTCAGCCTCCTCTTCTCCAGACTGAACACCCCCAGGTCCCTCAGCTGCTCCTCACCAGCCATGTTCCCCAGACCCCTCACCAGCCCCACTGCCCTTCTCTGGACCTGCTCCAGCCCCTCAACATCTTTCTTACACTGTGATGACCAGAACTGACCCCAGTTCTCAAACATGTCCCTGGGTGTGGCTTGCCTGTGTGCCTGCAGCTGTCTGAGGGTGGTGGGGGCTGCTTCTTGGTTCGTGTCACTTCCAAGTTGAAGCCAGTGCATCTTTCTGTAGCACTGTGGCCCTGAGGCTGGCCGGGGTGTGTGGCTCCATCAGCTCTGGTGAGATGTACTCTGGCTCTTCCACCTCACTGGAACTTCCTTTTCTACTCTGTCGAGACTTCTGTGTTTGAACAGGCAGTGCTGTCTGGTGTGGCCTGTTCCCAGATTTAGGAACTTTCCCAAGATCTGATCACTTAGTTCAGGATCTTGAAGGTATCTTCTTGCTTAATTCCCACACAAGATAAAAGCTTTTGGGTTGTGTCTGCTCATGGGCCTCCAGTCTCTGTGTCTTTCTCCTGGAAGTGAAAATGCTCATTTAATGCTCAAGGTTGTGTATGAGCAAGAAGCACTTGGAGGCTGTATGGTAGAGAGGTTATTTACTGAGTTGGGATCTGCTTGCCTCCCTTGGTTGCTTCTGCATCTGGTCACTCCTCAGAAACACTCCTGGAAGCCCTGCTGGGCTGTGGGGCAGCCTGGGGAAGGGGAGCTGTGCTGCCAGGCTGCAGCAGGGCTGGGTAACCAGCTCCAGCAGCACAGGACCCCTGGCTTAGACTCCTGCCACAGGGGAGTTCACGGCCTGGGAGCCATTTGCACAGTTCATGTGCAGAGCTGGTAATTTAGAAATGTCAGAGGGTGGGAGGTGGCTAAAACCTGCAGAGGTGGCTGTGCTTTCTTCAGCTGCAGGCTGGCCAGAAGGGAACTCCCTTTGGGAAGGGTTGGAAGCTCCAGGGTCTTTCCAAGCTGGTCTGGTCTGTGGTGGATGTTCTCACCTCCTGGTTATGGGCAGGGCTTTGCTGTAGGGACCAGCATCCTCCAGGCCAGCAGACCCCTGTGCAGGATGGGTGACCTTCAATCTGTTCTTGGAACACCCCGTGGAATTAGTGATGGAAAACCATTTCTCTGGAAGATAAAGCTAACAGAGCCCTAGAGTCAGAACTCCTAATAAAAAGTATTTTTTGTTGTTGTTTTATCTGTTCTCATACCCTAAAAAATGCTTTAGGCTGCTGGCCAGTGCGGGCAGAGTGCTGTGAGGAGCTGACTGAAGCTGTCCCAGGGAGCTGTGGAGCTTTGCCATGATCTGCTGGCTGCCTGCTCCTGCCTCGGTGGTGTTTTGCCTGCTCAGCTGTGCCAGCACAATCGTCTGTCTGTCTGTGCCCCGGGCCGGGTGACACGCTGGGGAGGCAGTCGGGAGCTCCTCGGCCATGCCCCCGGGCAGCAGAGGCACAGGGGGCTGCGGCCGGGTTTGGGAATGTGCTGGCAGGGGTGGGGAGGTGTGTGGAGCAGCCTGCTGCCAGAGCTGGGCCCTGGAACAATGGCCTGAGCAGAAAAAGGCTGTAACAACACTGAAAGGCGAGTCCTACCCCTGGCCCTGGGAGAACACTGGTGAGCTCATTCTGGGAGTGTGGAGTAAGAAGAGCCTTCTGTGACTTGCTGTGGAGGGAGCAGGAGTGTTTTCTGCCATGTCTGCTTTTCTGTAGGAAAAACAGATTGTATAATTGGGGAAGATTGACAAATCTGTACCTTGAACCAGAGGAGGAGATATTCCCAAGGTTGGAGAGACCTCACTGAGGCTGCCTCTCCTCCTGCTCAAGCCAGGGTGCTGCTGGCTCGAATACCAAAGTCATCTGTGCTCCAGTGTTGGCTGAGACCGAGGCAGGATGGCTCAATTGCTTTCAGTCTTGTTTCCCTTTAGTTATTTCTTGCTCTGGTGGGTAACACAGGGATTTAAGAAAAGGTGCATAGTTGCATCAGCTGCATGGCAAAGAACCTGCCGTGGCGTTGGAGTTGTTGGTGTGAAGGTCCTGGGGAGAGCCCAGTGCAGGCTGGGGGAGCAGCAGCAGGGACAGGACCCTGGGACTCAGCAGAGCTCTGGCCCCAGAGCAGGGGGAAGCTGCCTCTGCAAGATGTGCCTTCTGTTTTCACAATTCCTTCCAGTAAAGCTCCGTTTGTGTGCTGAGGATCCTCCTGTACTCACATTTTCCTGTTAACATGGCAACACCTCGTGTGGAGGCAGAGATTTTTTTAACTCATCTTTTACTTCTTGTGCAATCTACTAGAACTCGTTTTGCTGGATGAAGTTCTGCTTTGCTTTGTGTCTTTGTAGTATCAAATGTCTCCTGTATTCCCCTTTCTGTGATGAATGTACTTATGAATTAAAAGCCTTGAAGTAAAACATGCTGTGTAACCCCAACAGGGACTGCAAATAATTGTTTATTTACTGCCTTGGTTGGGTTTTTTTTAGAAATAAAAATAGAGTAGGCTCATACCATACACAGGCTTCTGTCAGGCAGGCAGGGAGGCTGTTGCCATGTTCCCAGCTGCAGCATTTCTTCAGGTGGGTGTTGCAGGCTCCCTCTGCAGCAGGTCCAGTGTGCAGGGGCCGTGGAGTCACCTCTGGTTACTGGCAGTGGCCTGGGGCCTCCAAAGCAACCTGTGGCTGTGACCAGGGGCTGCAGCAGTTTCCCCTTTCCACCCCCGAGGAACCCAGCAGCTGCTAGGAACAAAAAGCCCTGGGGCTGTTTTGGGGCTGGGGGAACAGGCTGTAAGCCCTGAGGGCCGAGGGGTTGTCAGCATGGCTTTCTGCTCTGCTCCTGTGGCTGTGCAGCTCCCCTGGGCCCTGCCTGCAGGGGCAGCAGCCGGGCAGCACCACCGTGTCCTGCAAGCACCAGGAATTCACTGCACAAACCATCTTGTCTTTCAGTTGTGCTGATCGGAGACTCTGGAGTCGGGAAGAGTAACCTCCTGTCACGTTTCACACGCAATGAGTTCAACCTGGAGAGTAAGAGCACCATCGGGGTGGAGTTTGCCACCAGGAGCATCCAGGTGGACGGGAAGACGATCAAGGCGCAGATCTGGGACACGGCGGGGCAGGAGCGGTACCGGGCCATCACCTCGGCGTGAGTGCCACTCCTCAGCCTGCCAGAGAGGCTGGCAGGGCTGGGGCAGAGCTGGGGTCATGGGGAGGGGATTAGTGAAGCCTGTCTGGGACAGGTGACAAAATCATTCCAACAGGCTTCAGTGTAGATCCGAGTCATAAGGTACCAATTGCTTTGGCATTCTTTGGCTAATATAATGAAAGTAATTTTTAGGTTCTGGTGATATAGAAAACAAAATGACAGCTTCAATCAGAAGTGTGGGGAATTCTGGTTTGAGTCTGATGGTTTGGGTTTGTTACCTGCCCTGGATGTGCTGTTTCCATCAGGTGGAAGGAGTGTCCCCCCTGGTGGAAGCTGGGTGCTGTTTGGGATTGTTGTGCTCACCATAACACCCGTGGCTTCTGGTCCCCAGTGCCCCCTCAGTCTTGAGACTGAAGGTATTTTTGGGACAGTCTGCGGCCATAAACTCCCTTGAAATTTCAATGACTTTGAATTAGTCACAGCCCTGAAAATGAGGTCCAAGAGTGGAGCTGAGTAATGGGTAAGTAGGAAGGGGACCGTGGTAGTGCTGACTGCAGCAGGAGGCACGTCCCTGTGGAGGACAGGGCTGCTGAGAAGCTTTCATGTGTGGCACCTTGTTCACTCAGCATCTGAAGATGCAACCTTTGGGAGTATGTTTCCACACAGGTAGAAAAAGATCTTTTAGAGGTAAAAAAGCAAATCCTGTTGGCAGCCCTGGTTATCCAGGGTGTATGCTGATCAGTGAGTTGGAATTTTTTAGTGTCACAGATGTTTTCAAAGGTACAAGCTTGTTTCTGAATTGTGCAGAGATTGAGCCATTTGTATTAAACTCAAGGTGAGGGGAACCTTTTTCATGGAGATTAATAGGGTCAGGCAGAAAAACAGAAGAGCATGGAGCACAGAGGGAACAATCAGTGGGGAAGGAATGCAGACCCAGAGTAACACAGGAACAGATGTAAGTGGTGATTGGAAATTACATTTTTTCCATAATTCTTACCATGTTTTTCATAATTTCTTAATGACCCTTAGCTTCTACAGCAGTAAGAACAATTCTAGCAGCAAAAACTGCTGTCTGAGTCTGCTCCAGCAACAGACTTGGCTGATGGGAACCAGCGTGCCCGTGGTGCTGTGGTCCTGCCTCTCCTTGGTGCTGGCACAGGCTCCTGCCCCACGCATTGCTGGGCCAGTCCAGCTTGCTCAGCCAGCACAGCTCCAGCCAGCAGCGAGCAGGGAGTGTTGTCTGCTGCCCTGCTGCCCTGAGCTGGTTCAGC